TGGAGTATTGATTATGAATGGCAGCGGGAAGGAATCCGGAGCGTTAATTGGAATAACATCACGCAAACATGCACGCTCACCTTAATCGAGTGAAGACATTAAACACACGTCAGCTGTGTACATTTGTCTTGGGCCCTGCCTGCCACTGGGTATTACTATGGGTTGTTGCCTTAGGCCATACAAATATGAGCTGAAAACGAAAGCAACTCCATAACCATTTGGATGGTGGATGGTCGGATAAACGTGATAGAAATACCCATGCTGTTTGTGTCGTCTCAGTCGGCGCTCCCAGCCCCCCAAACTCAGCCGCTTTATAACTAAATCCACATGGGAGCGCGAGAGGTGATGGTCAGCCGAATTATCCGCGCCGGTGCGGAACACGCGCGTAAAGCCGAGCAACAGCAACACGTGCTGGTACATGCAGACTCAACAGCAACACGCCTGCAAAAAAAAATTAATAAATGAACAGTCAGCCGATCGTTCAAGTGCAAATAAATAATAATGTTTTGGATTAGTGGGAAGGAAATCACCCCTGGAGGAAGTTCAGCTGGATGTGATCGGGGCAGCAAGTGATCAGGCAAAAGATGTGTGAGCAGAGGCTGTCATTAAAGGCACAATGTGCGTTACCGTGGCAACATCATAGAGGCCTCCGTCTTTTTAATGTTGTGGTTAGGAACAAACGACATGGCATCCAATCCCCGTGTGAATTAAAGGCACATAGCTAAATAAAGCTCAAGTACCCCTGCTGCTCTTCCTTTTTTCTCTCAACCCAGCGTTTGTCTCTGCTCTTTGGGGAATTAGACAACAACCCCATTAGTCTCATTTTGAAACAAAGGTAACACTACAATAATAGTTATTAACATTACTTAGTGATTTATTAATCATTAATAAACAAATTGTCCCTTTATTAACGTTACTTAGTTCATACGTATTAATAAACAAATGATCCCTTATTAAGTTACTTAATGAATTATTAAGCATTAATAAACAAAGGATCCCTTTATTAATGTTAATTAGATCATACTTAAGTATTAATAAACAAATAGTCCCTTATTAATGTTACTAAGTGCATTATTAAGCATTAATAAGCAAATGGTCCCTTTATTAACTTTACCATTATTATCAGAGTCCTTGACGCTTTATAGGGCACTCATTGAAGTGGTTAAATATTTAAACGTTTAACCCTAGGGTGTTGTTGTGGTACATAACCAAAGTCTTTGTCTGTTGTTACAATTTTCAAAAATATTTATTTTCATGCAGAAAATTATAGAAAACGAAGTAATCAAATATGGAAGTTGGCCCTGTTCTGGTAAAAGAAATCCCAAAATAAAATAAAAAACATGAACAAGTTCAATAAACATTATTTTTAAATACTATTGATAATTATAAGACACTTTAGAATAATCTAGCTAATTTTCAAACATTACATCATTGTAGAATAATACAGAACAATACAGAACATATCACGATTATTAAAGTATTTTTTTATAAAACCAGATGACTGTAGAATGTTTTTGAGAGGCTCTTGAACAATAGATACCATTTCTGATCAAATATAGATTATTAGAATATTTTATATTTGAGGGTCTGCCTGAATGTCATCTTCTTCCTCTTCATCATGGGCGAAGGTGGAACAGGAGTGAAGTGCTCGCCCCGTAATCAGAAGGTTGCAGGTTTGAGCCACGCTCAGTCTGATGCTGTTGTTGTGTCCTTGGGCAAAACACTTAACCCACCTAACCTGCTTGTGGTCTTCGGAGGGACTGCTGGTGTCTGTGTACGGAAGACTCACCTCTGTCCCAGGGCAGCTGTGGCTACAGTGTAGCTCATCACCACCAGGATGTGAATGTGTGTGTGAGACTGACTCTGTTTTAAAGAGCCTTGGGGGGTTTCAGGACTCTAGAAGGCGCTATATCAAATACAGGCCGTTTATCATCATCATCACACAATAACTGTTGTCCTTCGTTTTCCATAGAAATCTGAGTTTAAAACTGCTAAACATCTTCAATATTACAATTGTTATTATAGAGCTCCGGACGTCACGTGACTCTCAGAGAGTAGACGCCATGTTGGCAGGCAACACATGTAAACAAATTGAACGGGATCGGCTTGGATTTTACTTCGTCGGAGTTTACTTCACACTTTAAAACCAAAGAAATAGTTTCATATAGTCAGAAATAAAATAGACTAAATATCTCCGACCCTTACCGTGCCCCTGGGATAGAAGCTTTCCGGACTTCTTACCGGACCTGGCCAGGGAACCCCTTGGGATTCCCCCGGAGGAGCTGGCCCAAGTGGCTGGAGAGAGGGAAGTCTGGGCCTCTTGACGCTACTGCCCCCGTAACCCGACTCCGGATAAGTGGATGAAAATGGATGGATGGACAAATAACATAGATTTATTGTAAGTAGTTTAAATAGAGTGCTGTGCTGTTTGAATGTATAAACTGAACGCCAAGAGAAATCACTAGTTTGATATTTTTCCGTGAATAAAATAAACGTCAGGCAGGAGCGTCTCAGGATCTGTCTGAGATCTGTCTCGGTGAGACAGATAAGAGCAATCCAAAGTGCTTTTTATGTGTGATCTGACAATTGATCAACCATTGCTTAAAAACTAAATACAGCTTAGCCGGTTAAATGCTGTGATCATAAGACACGTAAACGGCAGCACGCAGAACTCACGAGGCAACGTTTTACGTGATGTTTACTTGTTGCTATGAGTAATAAGACAGAAAAAGCCACGCCAAAATAAGTTTAGGAAGCCCACTAAGAATCGTAATAAAAGCATTTAAAATAAATACCATACACAGTTGAGGAAACGTTGGTTTAAGTACCTGATATGAAGTGGTCGCTGCATAAGTGAAATCCTTTACTCTCGGGATCCCACAGTTTCATTTTAGCCCGGTCACTAGCGCGTTTCATTACAACGATTCAACGTTTGCTGCGCTCCGGATCTTGGGGAATCCTGTAGATGGCTCATTCCTTATGTTGTCAGCGTCTGTTCTGCATCCTGGGGCACAACAGGAATCTACCATATTTCTCGTTTGATTGAGTTTTCTGACAATAACAAATAATCCAGCTGCGGGCTTCTGCCTGCCAAGATGGCGTCGTTTTGATTTGAACTGTTGCATGCCAGGAAAAGTGACGTGAACTCCCAGAGCTCTATACCTGATTTCTTTTACTTGTTCAGGCCGTATAATCAAAACTGGCAGATTTGATTTTCATGCAAAGATTTCACCATCTTCTTTGAATTTAACATTTACAACACATGTACCATTATTTAGCACAACTCGTCATCCTTGTGATGTGAGAGTTTCATAAATTAGTTTTAGACATCTGTCCGTAAACACGAGAGGAGACCGAGGAGTTTCCTGATTCTGGAGACACACCATTTGGCATGTCATAGCTCCATGCTGATTGGTGGAATAGCGGCTTGGCGTAAAATTTGATTAGCTAGATATCTGATGATCGGTTGGGTGAAATTTCGTATTTCTAATAGTCTGTGAAAGGCACACCGACATCTTTTATGATGTGAGTGGAAGTGTCTTAATATAGATGTTGGCCATATAAAGGATTAAGGTTAGGATAAAGAGCCAGGGGTATGTGTGTGTGTGTCTTCTTAGTAATGCATTTCTTAATATGTTTAAGTGTTACACCCCTGAAACAGGGGAGAAAGAATCACAAAAGTGATTTGTGAGCTGCTTCTCTCATGCAGTTGTTTAATGCAATCCCAAAAATGAACATACATGTTTTACAGTGGCGGGCGGTGCGTTCCACCCCTGGGCCTTCAGTGATTTCCTATTCAGTCCAATCTAATTTAATACACCTTAAAATACCATCAATAGGACATCACAGCTGGAGAAACCTCACTCACACACACACACACACACACACACACACACACACACACACACACACACACACACACACACACACACACACCAGTGGCTGGTCAAGACACATAATGTCCAGAGTCTTTAAAATCAAACTCGCATTCCCAGTTGAGAGTAGGAAGCTGACCACGGATACCGTCAAATCTCAGAAATGAAAGACGGGTTTAAGAGATGAGACAATAAAATAAATAAGTAAAGCAAACACATTATTTGCATTTGTTTTGGAGAAAATTGCACCGCGAAACAATTGAACATGTTGGCGCAGCTGCACACACCACGTTATACACAATATAAATTGCATAGAAACAGAACACAGAATAATTTCATTTTGCCATTCTATTTCGTTACCATTTATTGATTATTAACAAAATAAAATGACAAAACATTAAAAAAATACTAATAAAATGTTTCTACTCACCAGCATAAATGTCCAGCATGGATCTCCTCCTCTCCTGCTCATTTGAAAATAAAATCCATCCTTCTTTCTTTCCTCAGGAAAACCTCAATGGCTCTGTCATACAGTTTATCTGTGCACTTCAGGTCCATGAGTAGATCCTTTTCTATGGACATGGAGGCTAATGCTGAAAGCCGTGTCTGCCCGGTCATGTTTCTGGCGTACATTTTAACGCGCTTTAAAGGAGACATAACATGCTTTTAAGTTATTCCTTTTTACATCTAAATCCTTCAGTTGGGGTCTAAATACAGTGGAACTGCAGTTCTTTGGTCTGATTTCCTCATTATTGTTGCTCTACAGACCCTCATCTACCCCTGTTCTGAGGAGAGTCTTGAGAACGAGCCGTTTTTGGGTACTGTCTCTTTAAACTGGAGGAGGAGCTGTAAACTCCGCCCCCCCTCCATAGTGCAGACCTGTACTCTCCTCCCCCAGTCGGACTTTGTAGTTCTATAGAGAAATCATTATTTAGCATAGCAGATTTAGCATAGCATATTAGAATTTTTAAAACATGTGGGGAGGGTAGTTCATCAAGCTGTTTCAAGGCTGCTAACTCTCTCATGCATTTGTCTGTAGTCACTCACACACACCCGTCACGGCCGACGGAGGGACAAGCTAGCAGGCACGTGCGCGCGCACACACACACACACACACACAAGGAATGCTGCTTGCTTATTTATTTCTATAAAAAATGTTTTAAAAAATGATACAGCTCATTAAAACACCATTAAAAGAATACATTTTATTAAGATCTCTATCTATATATACATACATATAATTATAAATAATTTTATAAGTAGTCTTATTTTATATTGGGTGTCTTAATGGCTGAAAATGGATAAAAAGCAGTTACATTTTAATTTAAAGATTTGAGATTCGAGTCAAAAATAAAGAACATTCCTCCAAATGTTCTTTAATGTGATCATTATAATTCTAATGCTTACAACTTTGTTTTTATTGTCTGCAATGCGTAGCCTATATCTTTATTAAATGTGTTTAGCTGTAAAGTGGTAATTCTCTCTAATGTGTACAGAGAGGTGGACATCAGTGCTGCAGTGAAATTCCCAAGATCAGTCTGCTTTGCTAACAAATATAGTTAAATCTTACCTGCATTCTAAATAAATACCGTTAGGTGGAAACATCAGTAGGCATTGAGTTATTGATAAAATCCCTTACAGCCAGAATGGAAGAAGTGCATGCTGGGTCATCCTGGATCTGAGCCTGTTCTGTGTATTTACCTACAGGATGCAATAAATGTCTACAAGGCTGAGTTTGGACCAGTACATCTAAAAGAAAACATACAATCAGTGATTTTTTTATTGTTTACATTAAAATACAAATTTTCTAAGTATTAACCTCACAGAAAATAAGTAGAACAATATAATAAACAGGCTTTAGTAGTTAAACAGGCGTTGTGCACACAGGTGCTTTGTGTCTCGGTGCTGTGGTATCTAGGTCTCAGAGTTCCTGTCCTCCTGCCGTCTTCTGTTGTCCTCAGGATACGGATTGATGTTTCCTGATGATGAGGGAGGGGCAGTATGTGGGCTTCAAACTGGTCCTGGATAACAGTGGGAGACCTCCGTTGTCTGAATACTGAGACCAGAGAGTTGGTGAGATGCAGATCTTCTCTACCTCATCTAGAAACGGAGTTGGTTCAGGGAAAACTTTTCCAAAGACCAGTTCCATGATGTCATCGTCATATTCTGCAATGATAGACAATAACTTTAATGACATATTTTGTTTACAAGCAGCTTTAGGAAAGTTGTTTCTTTAGCTTTCATGTTTATAGTCACGTTTGTGTTGCTGCAGTGACTTCATATTCTTACAAATGTAATAAAATAGTGACACTAAAATTATACAAATGATTCCTTATGAAAGGAAGCTCATTAGAGAGCAGTGCAGACAGACTTACTACTCTATTAAATCCACTGTGTTGACGCACTTTAATGACTTTGTCACGCTGCATTTTAGCTGATATGGGACTTTATTTACTGGATGCTAAGATTACATCACACTCACGTAGAATAACACACAGGCTCTCTGCTGTTACAATCAGTGGGAGGTTATCATCTGGTGTAAAAGAAGGCGTTGATCAGAAATCACGTTTTATTCCACGAAAATCAGCCAAATCCACATTAATCTGGGTGCTAACTTTACTAGCATACTGTGCTAGCGATAGCAAGCCGGATGCTAACGCTTTAGTGCTGCTAATGCCCGTAAATCTAAAGTAAAGTTTGTCGACATTTTAGAGTGATATGAAGCTTACCGCTCTGCTGCTGTGTCCCGGTGCTGCCACATTCAGATAAAAATGACTCCTTTTAGATAGATGAAGCCCTCAGTACTTACTAGCCTGGAGACACGAACGAACGAACCACGCGCACGCGCGCACACAAACACACTACTTTTTCTTCTGTGTTTTTTTAGCAGTAGTGTCATCAGCTCCTGGGTTTAAATACTGCCACACCACCCTTCCTTAAAACGAGGAACAGTTTTGAGCTGTGTGTGGCTAAAATAACCAGACATTCTGCATTTTTCCAATAGGACTACAAAAAATCTTAGCGAGAAGAAAAAATGGCGGATTGGCTCTGTGTTTAGCCGAGGGCCATTACCATATTTGGTAGTTATCCTCACTAAATTAATTACTGATGTAATAGATAATGTAAAAACTGAATGGGTGGACAAATATGCCCAAAACTTAATTATTAAATAGCTAAATAGCAACTCCAGTGAATAATATAAGCCTTTTTGCTCACTTAGACACTTAAAATGTGAAACACACCGTGTTAATGGATAAAAAAGTGGGTTTTTCATGTTATGTCTCCTTTAATGCTACCAAATCCATCTGATGCGAGCAACAGGCATTCCCAGCAGAATAACTTGCAGCGGTTCTCTGAAGCTGTTAGCCATGGGTACCGTTCATAGTTGCTTGCCTGAAAATGACGAACAAATTCTTTCCCCTGCTGGGACAAGCCAGCTAGCGTTGGAGTCAGACGACCTGTTCTCACAAGATCCATTTTTTCTTGAAAGGTCCGTCTTGAAAATGGTGTGGCAAGTTAATCTGCAACCAAGTCTGTCCCTTCTCCTCTTTCAGCCATCATGTGTTCAAAAACACACCGATAGCTGCCTATAGATACAAATCTCTGTGTTTAGTTTTGATATTTTGCTTCATGCCGCTAGAAAAGTTCTAACTACTGCTTATCCAATCACAGGATGCGTTCATGTCAACTTTTGCGTAAGGCCAGCTAGCTGGCCCGGGTCAAGCTGACTCGTGAGCTGATTGGCTATCGCAACTGGATCGTCTCTGTTCACTTACAGCGGACAGTGGGCTTCTCGATTGATTCTGAAGGCCTAGGGCAGACTTAATCTGCCTGAAAACACAAGCTAGCTTAAATCTGATTGGATAACACCCAGCCTTGGTATTTTAACACTGGAAGCAGCACAGCCAAGTGGGTATAATACGATATAAAGAAAATAGACCAGTAAACATTTTTTTATTTAAAAATAATTACCAAAGGAAAAAATACATTTACGCTTTTGAGTATGTTTAGGCCAGCAGAGAAGGCTTTGCTGGCCCTGACTGCCCACCACTGATGTTTTATATTCCATATCGTATCATGTCATAGAGTGGAAGGAGCCAATTATTAAACGAAATAGTCAGGATTTACTGAATAAAGTTCTTCAGCACGAGTGGTACCAGTAGCATTGCTAGCACTTGCCGTTAGCTAATAGCTATCACGGTGTGGTCGGCTGAAACACCCGAATGCGGTCTAACTACACACAAAACTGACACTAAATAATCTACAACTCACAAACACCTACGGTTCATCTATCCAACTGACTTAGAAAGCCTACAGGTTATATATAGATCATGTTTTTATCACATTACCTGAAACAGGGGAGAAAGAATCACGAAAGTGATTTGTGAGCTGCTTCTCTCATGCAGTCGTTTAATGCAATGAGGAGCGAGCGCGCCGTTTTTCCCCCTAGTGGAAGGCTACGTCACTACTAATCGATTGCAGATAAGGCTTGTTAGTTGAAGGCCGATACACAATTCACTCTTTTTAACTAAAATGACTCCAACATGAAATATAACATGAAATATTAGCTTTTAAACAGTATTGTTAATGTTAATATATTTACATTGGTCTGTTTTTAATCTATATGAACTGCTATGAAATTACGTTCACTGTGAAGCATTGGTACTGTAAACTGCATTTCTTACCAAACTATTATTCAAATGAAATCAGTCTTATAACAAATAAACAGTCACTGGATCCTCCTTGGAGCTGCATAGAGGAGTATGAATGCGGTCTTTAAACTTAGGCATCAAGCAGTCTTTTAGCCTATCACATAAGCAGTTGTTAATACTTTATTTAACTCTTTATTAATGCTTAATAATGCACAACATAACAGTAATAAAGGGACCCTTATTTTAAAGTGATACCAAATTAAAAAGATGTAAAACTGCCCTAATCTTGACCGTTACACTCTCAGGTGCCGCTTTGTCCTTTCCTGATTGATTTAACACAATCACCTCATCCAGAATCCTTATTGTTGTTCCTTATCCTCCAACTATTCTATTCTATTCTGCACCGCTGTGACCCCTCTGACCAAGGTAATTACCTTCGACTCTTGAATCATCAAATCTGAACCCCTCAGAGATTGGAGCATCAGATTAGACTGTGTTGCTTGTTGCAGTCCTCTGCGAGTTAGAGCCCAGTTGTTTATTCCACACATGCAAAATCGTTTTCTTCTTCTTTGTATATTCATTAGCATTTGATCTGAATAGAGAAGGGGAGAAAAGTTGTCTTTGGTTTACAAAAGAGTGCTGTCAGCCAGAGGAGCAGATAAGGTGGATGTTGTATTTAATTAAGAGGGAAGGAAGCCCTCCTTGTGTCGGGGTACATACCGGCTCCACACAGCAATTGACCTTTGTGAGCATGTCAAGACTTTATCTTGCTCTCATCAGCCTCGAGCAGGAGTTGTCAAGACAGTAACTAGCTGTGCTCACACGCAGCCCTTCTGATTTCCACAAACAGAGCTTGCTCAACACCTCAGCAGCAGGATTTTAGGGTTGCATTTCCAAAATCCCTAAATGCTCATTTACTGTGCCATTACTAAATAAAATGAAAGGTTTTGAAACGTTTATTTTTAAGAGATATGCAAACAGAGATGAGGCAGATTTTAGTGCTTTGTCATATAAAAAAAAAATAAAACACATCAGAACATTAAGATCTGCAATATTTACAAGAAAAGCTCCTAAGATGTGTTCTCAATTTAGATGTATGCCTGCTGATCCTGTTCAGACACAAATGAGTTTAATGTCCATGATGGTGATAAACAAGGAGAGCATCAGCAAAGGTTTAGTAGCAACATTATTTATCTTAGTCAACACTGACACCTAGAGGTTTAAAGCAAGCCTGCACGTCTTTTTTATATTTTGGATGGCTGTCACATCTGTGGCTGTGGTGGAAAGAACCAGTAACAACAAAAATGATGGTAAACATGTAAAGATGTTAAAATATACATGATGTGCTGAACTTGTTTACAGTTTTAGCATATTTTAATCATATCTGATGCTTCTTTGACGTCAACACTGATGCTCATGAACCACCAGGGGTCACCAGAGTATTCTTCAAAGGTTCCAGACAAATGCTGAGCGCTACAGTTTACTTCACCTTGAGATTTTTACTAACTGGAAAATGGGACCTCAAACAATGAGCATCCAAATCAGAAATTAAGTGTGCAAAAACAAGGGCAATTTAAAATTTAGTAGGCCTAAAAAACAGATACAGCAAAGCAAATCAGATTTTTTTTATGCATCAACTCGTGCTGTAGGCCCAAATGCTGATCACAGCTGTTCACCACTTCTGGGGTCCTGTAGCGGCTGAAGGGACATGCCAGGGGTCATCGCAGACTACTTAAAAGTGCTGCGCCAGGCTTTCTGTGTGGAATGTGGACAGATAAGGATAATGTTTCTAGGGATATCAGGAAAGTGGAAGAAAAAGGAAGGATGGGACCATTTTCCTTATAAAATAAAATATATTTTTGAAATTTATTTCAATGAATGTAGTGTCAGAGTATCAATAGATTTTCAGAGAACATGATAAAATCTGTGTTAGTCTAGACTGACTTGTTCCTGTATGTAAATTAAACAGAATCACTTTTCTGACAGGGTACTGCTTGAGAAGCTGTAATTAGATGTGTTGTAGAAAACGTGTGTGTGTGTGTGTGTGTGTGTGTGTGTGTGTGTGTGTGTGTGTGTGTGTGTGTGTGTGTGTGTGTGTGTGTGTGTCTTTTAATAATGGTGCCCACTGCCATGCAAGGACCTGCCTTTGGCACTGAAGGATCCACATGAGATGTCATCCATGGTGGCTGACGACATATTTCCCTCTCTACCATCCTCCAGGAAAGCTGGAGTTGCTCTCACAGCCTGCTCCGTAGAGCTCTCGTGTCCGTGTCTGATTTTCCTGCTCCTCGTCATTTAGTCAGTCCTCAGTTCATTATCTAACGATCACACAGTGTGTCAAAGCATCTGCAACACTCTTCCTTTGAAGCCCACAGTTTCTCTTCACTTGTTTAGAGGTGGTCTTTTCAAGTCTCATCTGGCAATCTTCTCTCTCAAAAAAAAAAAAGAGTAGTCTTCCAGGAAGCTGAAAACCAGCTAATTTGTTCCTACTCTGGCTGCTAAATTGCCTCTGAGGGTGGCTGGTGTTTAACCTGTCAATACTCCTTTAACTACAGAAACCTCAATAGAGCGCTGACACGTTCTTCGTTATTACAAAACTACATCACTGAATGGGCTTTAAATAATCGAGACGTTAAAAAAAATAAAACTCTTTTGTTATATTTCTGTACTCCCACGAGCACGGTGTCATTTAGCAGAATGGTTTGTTTTTAAAAAACACAAGAAAGATTTTGCTAAATGTTTTTGTCACTATAGTGGATATTGAAAATAAAATTGGTGCTTTGTATCATCAACCCACCCATTCATCCATCCATTCATCCATCCATCCATCCATCCATCCACCCACCCACCCATCCATCCATCCATCAACCCACCCATCCATCCATCCATCCATCCATCCACCCATCCATCCATCCATCAACCCACCCATTCATCCATTATCCATCCATCCATCAACCCATCCATCCATCCATCCATCCATCCATCCATCAACCCACCCATTCATCCATTATCCATCCATCCATCCATCCATCCATCCATCCATCCATCCATCCATCCATCCATCCATCCACCCATCCATCCATCAACCCACCCATTCATCCATCAACCCACCCATTCATCCATCCACCCACCCACCCACCCATCCATCCATCCATCCATCCATCCATCCATCCACCCACCCACACATACATATATAC